TTATACCAGAGTGCGCAGAGTCAGCAGAATAAATTTTGCACTCTATAATTTTTGGGGTTTTAATTGAAAATTTATATTCTTGTAGAGGTTCTTAGTTGCAATTTCTTTATAAGGGTATTTTTGGAAAATTAACCATTCTGTTACCATAACAGAATGAGTCATTGGGTAAAGTAGTATTATCCTTTAAATAGATACAGCCACAGTGTAAATCAAATAAGTATGAACGTATAAATTTATCCACTTAATGAACTCGTGGATAGGAACAGGATACGTTGAATACTATCCAAAATTAAGCAAGTATGAATGCACAATCTTCTCTGGATTGCACTGACGAAATTAATTTGAAGAAAAGTAAACCCTAGAAACACGAAATTTCTCAAAACAGCTTGAACATGGCTTGACCTATACGGAATGGATGCGGCCCGTGTATAGCGGGATTTTTCCATTACACTATTTCACCTTCACTCCATCAAAAAATGATAAACAATGGAAGAATCAGACAGAAGAAAATCACAATTCAGTAGTCGGTGCTGTTTATATAATTCTTCTTCACTTTCTCTCTCTACACACATCCCCATTTCTCTCTCTAAGATACATATACATATACATATACATATACATATACATATACACATGCATTCACGGACATTTATGTTAGGCTGAGCTCAAAAACCCATATACACACGCTTACAGAGTTGTTTTTCCTTTTTTTGTGTTTTTAATTATGGGTTCGGACGGTACGTTTACTGCTCAAAAGAGAGTCTCCAGCGGGCTGCCGACAACCGCTGCCGCCGCAAATGGCGTTCGTGGCCGCGTCGCCTCTGTAATTCCCCGTGGCCGGCAGATCCAGAAGACTTTTAACAACATCAAGATCACTATCCTCTGTGGATTTGTCACAATCCTCGTACTCCGTGGTACAATTGGCCTCGGAAGCCTCGTTTCCTCCGAGGCAGATGCTGAGAACCAGCACTTAATTGAAGAGACCAACCGGATCTTGGCTGAGATCAGGTCTGATAAGGACCCCACTGACCCGGATGACCCGACTGAAGAGTTCTTGAACCCTAATGTTACTTACACTCTTGGGCCGAGAATCAATACATGGGATGAAGACCGGAAGGTATGGCTTCAGAAAAACCCTGAATTCCCAAATTATGTTAATGGCAAACCCCGGATCTTACTTGTTACTGGCTCTCCCCCAAACCCTTGTGATAATGCTATTGGAGATCATTATTTGTTGAAGGCTATTAAGAATAAGATTGATTACTGTAGAATTCATGGAATAGAAACTGTGTATAATATGGCCC